AGACTATATACCTAGAAATTATAAAAGTGCATTTTTTTTACAGTGTAATCTTGTGTTTTTTAGGTAAGACTAAGACATTAACCACGAACTTTCATATAATGTTGGTAAACATTTCCAATTCAAAGATAATTCATTTGATTCTATTGTAATATGCTTATGTAGGTAATCCATAGAGATAATTATGACCAAAAGTACCACATAAATACTAAAATTACTCTTAATACAGACTCTGTTCAGTTTTAAAATTAAAAGAACAACTTAAATAACGAGTAAGAGTATATTGTAATAACTAAGACTCCTGAGAGTGTATGATTCGCTAAAAAAGATTTTCATTGTATAGTGCAGTTACATTTTGTCGTAATTTAGTTTGGATTTAGATCAAACAGTTTATGTATTCCGTATGAAACTTGTTGAACTCTTTGTACTTGAGAGATCAAATACTTACTTTTTGTGGGCCAAAAATGTTTAATTTTAATTAATCTCTTACTTGTGACTGTTTGAGGACCTAAGTGCGGTTATTAGAAATGTACCTTTTTGTATAATAGTTTTAAGCTATTAGTAATATTAAAATCGTATAAGTGCATGTTTAACTATAATCCTTCAAATAGCTTACAGCAACTAGTTTTGGTACAGATTTGTTGCCATTTTTAGGCTTAACAAAGATATAGTATTGTGGTTATCCTTTTCAGAAGACCATTAATTCAAACACTTGTTGTTTGTTGGTGGTATATTACATGATCGTTGTCCTAAACATTGCACCAACTCGGTGCCGAGACTAATTTCTGCAAGCAATTTAAAAAGATTGTGAAGCAGATGTATACACCATTTAAATATTTATTGGTGATCCAGAGGTTATAATACCGACATGAAATTAGTAAATACTGATAAATTTCGTAAAGTAACACGACACTGTTCCACAATAATGTCACAATGCGTTCATTTCCTTTATTCGTTTGTCCAAAAATTACGATTACAAATCGTTCGGTAAGGCAAGCACTATAACCACTTGTAAAATTCCGCTAAAGATTATACAAAAGTGTTATTAAAAAACTCGTAGTAATTTTCATAGACATAAAACGCACGTTTTCTCTAAATTTGTCCACCAGCCAGACGAAGTTCGGCCCTGTTATGAGTTAGAACAGCATTATGGACTACGCGACTTGCATTTTCATTATGCACTGCACCCCCCCCCCCCTCAACCCCTCCCCCTGTCTTAAATAACCAAGCTCATTGTGCTAGTTTCGCGTGCTGAATTCTTACAAGTCGTAAGTGAAAATTTCCAACAACGAACTCTGTAACAAAAGCCAGTTTTACAAGCTTAGATTTAATTGAATTGAACCTTTTAACGCTGTTATTTGATATCACAAAACTCGTTTTGTTTTGGCCATGAAGATTTTCCTCTTTTTTTACATATGCCACAAAATATTTCTCAACCCACCGTATAGTATTATTTTAAATGTTTAACTAATTAATTTTTAATATTGATTTGAATTAAGTTTTTAAACGTGAATAATTTTCAAATAATGTAAGCCTTAACAATTACCATTATTCCCCTCATCTCTTTACACTACACGTTCATTGTAGTTTACGTTACGATACACATCTCTACAGAATAGAATTACACTGTTATGTACAATATGAAACACAACTACGTACGATGCAATATGCATATTGCTTTCGCAAAATACATTCGTGCAATAATATATTCATACGAGTGTTATAGCTTATTTTAATATGTCATAGTTGGAATAATCTCTATAGATTGAAAGATTCGTTCATAATACTTAAATTATATCTGAATCAAATTATAAATGTAAAGTCTTTTAATATTTTTTGCTATTGCTGTAATAATATATCACTAAATATTTTAACTTACCCTACTAATCTGCTATTACTAATGGATAGTACAATGATATACGATAGAAAGAGTTAACTTTCAATGTATATTCTTCATCAAATCTTTAAACCCATATTATGGAACTTTTTTGGTAATTTAATAAACAAGGCAATCGCTGATGCATTTATTATCAAAATTATTACATAATCACATTTTACAGGGTGTCAAAGTTGTCTATACTTAAAAAAATTGTAGTCAGCCCTATTAGGAATAAAGAATTGTTTATTTCAGCCCACACTAAGCATTTGATTTATGTATTTGCGAATAGTACTCTATGCACATTTTGTTACTGAATAAAAACAGCACACCCTTACTATCACTGTATTTTTCTCCATCCATTTTTAACTAACAGTGTATATTAGCTATTTCATTAATTTTTTAACATTTCTCCTCATTGAAAACACGTAGCTTGAGTTTGCAAGTCTCTAAATTCTTTGCTTACATTTCACTTACAGTTTAGAAGCATATTTTGGTGACAACACATGCCGAAACACTGTTCATGTCGTATATACATCTCGATATGTGTGGTTAAGTGTGTGTGTGTGTGTTGGGCCGGCCAGCAAAATATAGCAGCCCTCTTCTATGACAATAAATTGGTTATGCAACAAATCATCACTAGCATATGTGACATGTTAGTTTACGCGCGTTGTAGGGGTCATTTATGTAAAATAGGGTTGGTACGTATCTGTATCTCTCGATAGGGTCTGTATCACGTTTGGCGGGAAAAATCGTTCTGACAACACGTAGTTGGGAAAACGGATTGATTGTTTGCTTTATATTACGTAAAGCTAGTGATTATAGTAATGAAAATTCTTTTGTCAGTTTTCTTGATTAGTTGTCCAATTTATCGGTTTAAATGATAAATTCCTTATAAATACTCTCAATTAGTCAATTTGACTTGATTATATATGATATTCGTGTTAAAAGCTGAGCATTAAGAAGAGAACTAATTTATTTTGTACAAACCACTTTTTATTTATAGTTTTTATATATCTATAACAAAATTTTCAACATTTTTATTTACAATTTCTTTATTTCGATCATAAATGTTTTTCAAAAATTCATAATTTAGATTAGGATTTAGTGTTGTTTGTGCCAGTCTTGTACATAGTAAAACCGTTTTGGCTGTAGTGTAAAATAGGCCGTAAATATTTGTATACGGATTGCAGTAGTACTGATGGGATGCGGCTGGTGTAGAAGATAAGAGCAAGACTTTTGTCTTGAGACCTCGTGTTCAAATCTGACCAATCACCTATGGTTTTTTACTGAGTCGCTTTTATCAATACTGTGACTGATTTTTCCGCATATAAAACAGGATACGCCACTCATACATTGGTAAATTTCCTTAACTAAGAACTAAAAATAATTGTTTGCCTGTACTGGCACGCCTTCTGTGTAGTATGGATGAACCAAGGATAGGTCGTGTCCGCAGCAGCTTTTTCAGCATCAAAGAATCTCATAAAATACTATCCTGGCCAAGTTTTTGTTTGACTTGGTTGATATGAAACTCGCTTAATAAAGGTAGCTCTGCTCTGCTCTACAGGTATTTTATATTGTGTTATCCGAGTTCAGATCGTGACTTGAGATTAATCTTTCTTTTTCTCCTTTTACCCATCATCCTCTCCTATACTTGTTATCCTATCATTCCGTTCCTCTCTGTCCACTACGTCTCCTATACTTTGTTCTCTATTTTATTGATAATTCTCTCCACCTTTCCACTATTCCTCCATTTTACCTTTAATCGTTATCTTCTCCTATCCTCCCATAACTCCTTTACCCTTTATCTATTAGTGTTCTCCTCATATTATTCTATCTGCGCTTTATCCTTCATTCATAAAAGAAAAGTTAGTGTTGTTTCTAATATATTCCAGGTTATTGTAAAAGTAACCTCAATGAGAAAGGTACGTCATATATTCATGGAGCATCAGATTGTAGTCCAGAACATTATAAAAGCAACAACTGATTCCCTAAATTATTTAAGCTGTGTTAAAACTATCGCCCAAAGAACTGTCAACTGTTATATTTGTATACACACATCACAGAATAGAAACAAAATTAGGTCCGATTAACAAAATATTTGTCTCTTTTCCTGCCACATAGGGTCATGCGAAAATCAAAGGTTTGAATTTCTACTGGGAATGACAACATCCAGAAATGTCTTGATTACAAAAGATTGTTTTCATTAAAAAACTACGGGTTGATATATTCCCGCAACAAATCGGGGTCGTTGTTTTATTTATTCAGTCCACCGTTCCCTCATATTTTATTTATATTTGCATCTGACCCCACGTCAATATTTGCCTCTGTGGTCACAGGTTGATTGAAAGCAACAATTTTCACACCTGTTTACAATGACTGTTAAAAATTACAAACCAACCTTTTAATTCAGTTTGTTTCCCTTTGTTTATTGTGTATTGTTTTCAGCGTCGGATATTTTACGCATAAATGTGTATTGCTGGTGAGAGTGGGCGGTGTTTTCTCGCCTCCAGTAATTCGCGTTGATATTTACTCTCTTGTTGATTAACATGGTAATTGGAGCAATGCGTTCGGCTATTGAACATTATACGTTTACAATTCTGGTTTACGTCCATGGTAAACCTCTATGTAATATTTATTCGCACTTTTTCCAAATTTAAGTTTTAAGTCGTTTGGTAATGTGCTATGTGTTATGTGCCAACTATCGATACTGTGATTGATAAAACCGAGAGATTTTTATTTTGATTTGTAAAAGAAGCCGATATAAAATGTAAATGTCTTATTACATAATGATCTTATACTGTTCAAGTGAAAAAACCTAAATACATTTTATATTTACCCTCAGAGTTGAATCCTTCTTTATAGTGCTACGATCTCACCTACTGAACAAAGAATTCTTCTGTACACTCCTTAACGTTTTTTTGTGAATGAGGGTTTCTTCTTATTGTGATTTTCATCTTTTTACTTTAAAAGCTATGTATTTGCGTGATTTTAACCAGGTAATTCAAACAAATTGTAAATACTAAGCAGGTTAAAGATAGTCTTAGTAATGTATAGTATTTAAATACGTAAATAATGCTTAAGATATGTCGAATCTTCCTTGTTGTAACTGTAACGTTTGTTGCAGACGTGCTACGAGATGGAACGTTACCTGAAGGACGAGCCGAAGCTGCAGTCGTACAAGAAGCTACCCACGGACCTCGACACGCCGTGGAACCTCTTCACCGCACCCGGACCACTCACCTCCTGGACCAAGGTGGAAGTGGTCAACCCGCTGACCCTGGACGAGTTGAACCTCAGCGAGCGTCACCTGGACTCACTGTCACTCAGCAGTGCCAGCTCAGCGTGTAGCGGGGTCAGTTGGGACAGCAGCGTCTCCTGCGCAGTTCTCGTCAAGAAGGAGCCTGTGGACGACGACGATGACGACTACTACGACGAGACCTCCACCAACCAGATGGAGCTGAGGTTCGTCGCGAGAGCGTCGTCCGCGGGGGAGTCGATCCTCCCCAACCTCACCCCCCCTTCCTCCCCCGAGTCCGGTCAAGGTCACAGCAACAGTAGCAGTAGTTGTGGCGAGGTCGGAGGACTTTTGTCGGTTCCCATAGTGAGGCTAACGGCGCGTAACTCGTCCGTAGCGAGGCTCATCTCAGTGTCCGACTCCTCCTCAAGACTACACGCACGGCTGGATCACTCGCCGGACTCTAGGAGGAAGATCCACAAGTGTCAGTACCCCAACTGCAAAAAGGTCTACACGAAAAGTTCCCACCTCAAAGCCCACCAAAGGACGCATACGGGTGAGTCATTTGTTCAAATTTGTCATAATGTCTAAACTTAAAAATTATGTCTACTATTTGTTTATGTTTTCACTAACAGAGTAACCAAAAACGAAGCAAGACTATTTTAAGCGCCTGTACCAGAATTTATCACCTAGTTCGAGAGAAACGTCCACTTTAAAATAATAATAAGGTTTAAATATTTACTCATATTAAATTATCTGAGTAGTATAAAAAATATATGAGTTATGAGTAATGTCCTAAGTCACTATAGATCTATTATCACATGATATAATAGTGAAACTAAAAGCATAAGCAACCCTCTCCTTAAGGTACTCACCTTCTAAATCGAGAAAAACGTCAAGTTGAAATAAAAGCATTTTAGCCTTACCGGACATGAAACATATTTATCAAATGCTTATGTAGCCCCCGGTTCTATAACAAACCGAGATTCTCGGTAGTATGTCCACCGTGAAGTCTCGTTCCTCCGATTATAGATATAGAGTGTATTGTTATATCCCTTGTAAAAGGGCTCACTTTTCCGAGGAAGGTCTCAAAGACGCAAAGTTTAAGTAAACAACAAAGTAAGTGCTGTTGCACTAAAGGGTATTCTCTCTTACACAACAGTCGAACTTTTGAACTATTCGTGTAACAAAACAAGGGATAAAGTAGGCAACATACTCTCGTCAAGCTTATTTTGCTAAATAACTCGTGGTCTGTATAAAGTTGCACACATCGTGTTCTAGTTTAATGGAATCGATTCTAGCAGTTTATTCGAAAAACGCATTACTGACTTACAAATTACTGGAAGATAATATAATATTAGCTCTGATAAAAATGATGCAACTTCACCTGAAGTACCTTGACTGGATACTAAAGTAAATCTTTTCTTTCTTAATACGTTAAGACTTAAATAAGTCTGATTTTACTAATGATTTTACTCTGATTTATCTAATTTTACCATTTAATTATATATAGCATTCTTAACTGGGTTTTAATAATAAAGTGCAAACAACAATTAATTACAAATAAAGTCGCAAAAGTGTATAGGCCTACAGTTTTATATATATACATAAGGTAAGTTAACTTATTAAATTGAAAAAATGAAAAAAGAACACGTTGCGTTTATTAAACTATGACTATTTAATACAATTGAGCGTTCACATTTAGTATGACAGTACAAATTTTTATTGACATTTCGTTTAACAAACGATATACTTGGATCAATTACTGAATACGCAGTAAAATGTATTAATAATGTACTACTTAATTATACTGTTATGTAACTTTGTTTTAAGACTTCTAAAACGGTTCTGTTTTTACATAACCTCAAAATACCCGAGGAGATTTTCCAAATGAACGTTTTTCTCGCCTGTGAAGGAACCCAAGCTCGTTTTGTGTTGTACAAATTGAGCAAAGCTTTAACGAAAGTGATAAGAGTAGAAACCCTATTGAATAGCTGTAAACACTGCTTTGTGTTCCCCGGAGAAAATTGGTTGTTGATAAAAGTAAAAATGTAAACCAAGAATGCTTTGTAAAGATTGGGTCATTCTGGTCTGCCTATAACTGTAAGCCTATACAACCTGTACAACGCTTCCATAGGTCACATAGATGTGGGAAACCTCTGTGGAATGTTCAGTAAAAACTGACGATGGTAGAAAATGGTATAAAATCAATTATGTAGAAAAAGAATCAGTGCAAAGTACATTATGGCGTAACAAATATGATGTAGAATGCAATAAGGTGTATCAATATGGCCATGCGAGTGCCGCGCCAAGTTAAATCTAATTTCTTCTATAAATGATTATCGTATACCAGTTTTCTACAATAAACTAATTTATTCACACCACAATCGTGTTGGCCGATTCCTTTTTTTATGTTTGACTATATTATGTTCAAATTTTATCCTGGAAAATGATATTGAAGTAACACGCACATTAAAATATGTTCGTTCATCATATGTAGCTGTCTAACAATAATTTGGCTTCTGGTTTAAAAAATATTTCATTGTCACGTAATATTTAATAAAAATTTAATTGACTCAGTACCTTAATAACGTTTTTGTCTTATGACTTGGAATCAATATTTTTTACTTACAATTCATGTCTTTACATTGTCAATTTATTATAATCTATACTCGAGGTTATAAAACAAAGCAAGTTACAATGCCGAATACATCAATGTCTTTATGTACTCAGAATGAAGAAAAACATTACCCTAAATGTGGTAAAAATTAATTACAGTATGAGAAAATAACGGGGCGAAAACTGTCTTACCGTCTCAAAGTATTATGGTTATCTTTGAATTGTAGGGAAATGCGAATATTTTACTAATATAACTTTAATGATACGTATTTTAATGATTAATGAACGTTAAAAATCAAGAGTAGCATTACAAAATATAAATTTATCCATTCTCCAAAATATCTAAAAACCAGACAGCAAAATTTGGATATGTTTTATTAATTATCGGCCATCCCGTGATTTTACTGATGAAACAAAGTGATTCTAAAACATTCCAACAAATATTTCCATTTAGTTCCATTTGCTTTAATTGAATCTTACCGGGTAGAAAAACGTTTTGAATCTGAATGAAACCTACTCACAATAATCCCAGGTATACTCTTGTGTTATCTTGCCTTATTTTATCCCAATTACCAAGTTTTTAGATAAAATGCGTATCTTATAATCCCACTACACTCTTGCTAAATAGCACCTACTCCTTTACTCTTATTTAATTAGTTGTACTGTATTTTTATACACATATTCGAGGATTGGCTTTGTTTTTACAATTACAAATTGGCGGACGTAATATTTTAATGGTTTTTAACAAAATAATTAGCGATCAGGTTATTTATCGCAAACACACATACATTTTACAAAAATACAACCATAATGTGTAACTTAGTGTAGAAACACTAAGCTGGCAACATTAGGAAACAACACTGTTGGTTTGAATTCCATTTATGTGTTCTTTAAAAACGATAATAGTTTTCTAACGTACAATTTCTGTATATAACTGATCTTATTATTCCTTCACAAAAAGTTAAGAATTCAACAAGGCATCTCCACTGTTCAGTAGCGTGTTCATTGACACAACATTTGTCTCGAGTACTCTAGCGCTATCATACCGTGACAGCTACAAACATCATTTTGTTTAACAACGTTATCAACATTTTTGTGCTCTTTTAGTTAAATAATAAATATTACCATGGACAAAAAGAATTAAATATAGACTGTCAGCCTTGCAGCGGTTACCATGGCTACCATAGGTTCTGGCGCACAGTGCTGGGAGCGCCGTGTAGTTACGTAGCGCGTACGCCGTTACTGCATGGTGCTCCCAACGGTGTGCGCTAGAACCTATGGTAACCATGGTAACCGCTGCACGGCTGACAGTCTATATTTAATTCTATTTGTCTATGATATTACTCGCCAGCAGGTGTTTCCGTAGCTTGCACTTACTTCTTGCAAAAATTATCTTTAAAACAAGTAACCAAAGTAACATTGCAATTCTACTATCTTATACTTTTTTTCTGCACCCCTTCTTACTACAAACCACCTGAATATTAGCTCACTACCACAACGGAAAATACAAGAAAGACACTTTGGGAGGGAACATTATTCAAATGAGCTTGTGACGAGCTAAGATCCGTCTCGAGCGGCTGACAAACGATATTTATCTAACTTTCGTTTAAAATATTGCTCGCCGTCGCGTCTAATGTGTGAGGGTTTGGCGCGTCGTTTGTATCTTGAGCGGAGCGATTACGCTCGTACCATTAGCGGTGCGTGCATTACTGAGATAACACTGTCTAAAACATAAGATAATCAGTAATACCAACTTTATAAAGACTAATGAGAAGTTGTGTGGCTTTGGTGGAAGTTTTCGTATACAGAGAAATGTCCCCCTTAAAGAGGATTGGATAAGTACAATTTACGAGAGGATTAATTTTTTGTGTGTTTAGATTATTTACTGTATGTTTTTTTGCAGCAGATGAAGTTTTCTAATGCCTTAAAACTTCTCGTTTAAAGGGGATTTTTATCTATTTTCTTGACAAGTGGATTTACAACTTAAGGTAGGATTAGAAATCCTGGGCCATTATCACATAGCTTTTTAGCTATTTCGGTTTTTGGTAAAAGGTTGGTTTTGAGTCCGATGCTTCAGAACATCATCCGTGACCAATACTGTAGGATACCAAAACTATACCATGGTTGCCAGTAGCTATTTTTTCAACAAATTGTCCAGATTTATATTGTGTCAACTTAAAAACTCAAGTTGCTTAGAGATCATTCTAGTCAATTTCGTACATTTTTATTTACTTCTTGTATTGTTTTATCTCAAAACATTTCTTCAAGTTATCAAAAAAATAAAGTAAACTTAAGTATCTATCATTAATTTAACGAGTTTAAATAATTCTTGTAACTTGATTATTCAATAATTGTATTGTTTTATCACTAATCCATTTTGAGAAATTTTCCTGAAAGGAAACAAAGCAAATGATCATTAATTCAAGAATAAATTGTAATAAATAGTATTATTTATTCAGTACTTGCATTTTTTTACCCCACGCCACTTTGTTACGATTTCTGTGGAACAACAAACTAAATGATCATTCAACTAAGAATAACTTGGAATTATTTTGTTTATTCAAAGACAAATTACACCCGAACCGGCGACAAATGTTCTTACCTCAAGAGTACTCGGCGTCGGGCCGTTGGTGAGGGTTAAGTAGAAGCCATTAAGAACAATTATTTCCGAGAGCCCTTTAAAAAACGGAAAAGGAAAGAAAGTTGTCGCAGTGCCCGAAGATTTACGATATCGGCCCAAAAAGCCATATTTTACCATAGTTGGGAGTTGGATGCCTTGCTCTATTGCGACCCCGTCGTCATGTCAACCCCACTTTAGCGTTTCATGCTTGTTCGCTTAGATTGTAAAACTTGCTTTAGTCTGTTTTTAAATAGATTATTTTATACGGCACCAAATTTTAGCGTTAACCGTTCACCTTGTACAGTTAAAATCATTAT